GGCAAAAAGAGAACTGTGCATTCTATCTACAAAAGTCTATGTCGGGTTAATTTTTCTCCCTAGATCATTAAAAAAGTCAAAAATACTTAAAAATTAAAATTAAGTACATTTGAACTTACAACATATGGTCAGCTTAAGTACTTTATTTAAACCAAAACAGAATTTCATTATGATTTTCTTTCAATTTAACATAATTAAACATTTTTTAAGATCATCACTTGGTCAGGAGAAACTGTCAAACACATTAATGCTCTTGGCTAAAAAAAGTGAGATAGGTGAAGGCTATCATGTGATTGATGAGTTCCTTCCATTTAAGTCAAGGGACTTGTTTTACCTTCAGGCTCTAGTATGGCTAAGCAGTGCACTGGTCTTTTTAAAAAAATGTTGATATTTTATTCATTATTGATTTGGGGGATCCCTTTGATTTGGTAAATATTGCATTACAATATAATTAGTGTTTATGACTGTTTGGAGGCACATTCTTAAATTTGTGCCTAGGCACATGCCTCCTTTGCCCCTGCCCAGTCTCAGCCCTGCTATAATACCTTTGTTCTGTAGCAAATATCCCTATTCACACTACCTTGTACTCTTTGATTAACTTTATATCCCCCCTCCCTTTTTAATTACATTCATAAATCAAAGGGGAGGAATTATTTTAAGTACATTTGAAGAAAAGAGCATATAATTCTAATAAATATGCCAGACAAGCAATTGAAAAAACTGTAAGTCTTGCATCTTTAGTAATAAAACTCTCCTCTAATCTCCTTTTGGCATCCCATTTTGAATGAAGCCAAAAATTTAAGTATACAAACATAAGAAAAAATGATGAATTCTCCTTTCACTCCCAATTCTGATGTTGCTTAAAAAAAGGGAAAAACCAAAATCAAAACAAAAACATTAAGTTCCCAAATATCACTAAATGTTTGCTCTTTCAAAACAAAAATAATAATAAATATTTTCTCGTTCTTGGTTTTACACTCTTTTGAAAATGTGTTTTTCCCCCTCCAAATTAAATTTTGTACAGTTTCCACTTGGCCTCACAGGAATCTAAAGCTTTATTTAAGTATGTGAATGGGAAGTGGGCAAAGTACAGAAACTTCAGGGGGAAAAATCAAAGGGTCTGAAGTGAATGAGGGATTTTCTTTTAGACACAATGCCACAGCTTAAAGTGGATGAGTTCTCCCTTGGGCCATATTACCTGGTAGGTTGTTATGTAATACACACCAAGGTAGAATCTAGTGATCCCCATCCCTGCTAAGTACTTGTAAATGAACCAAAGGTTGAAGCTCAAAGCAACGTGAGCATATTGTTAATATTTTTTTAGCATTTATTATAAACCAGATACTATTTTAAGAGCATTAGAGATACTATTTTGGTGCTACTTTTTAATCTACAGTTTACAGATGAGAAAACTGAGACTCCATCAATTAATTTACTCAAGATCATACAGCTAATAGAAGTGGAGCTGGAATTTGAACTTGGGAAATCTGGCTCTAAACCTGGAGCTTTGTAACCAGTGTGTTAAACTACACAAACAAACATGTGTTATTGATGGATAAATGACATGCCAATGGAGCCAGCACCATCTGTCAGTTTGGGTACTGTAATTAACTATCACTGTAATCAATGATTATGGTAGTCTATTGTCACTGTAACTCTTCTTCACCATTACCTCCTAACTTAAGTGCCACCCACCAGCCTACTATTTAAAAGCTTCTGCCTAGGTTCTCTATCAGGTCTCCAGACAATCAAATGGTTCACTATTCTGGGCAGGCCCTGGGTTTAGCTCCCCAAACATCTAAGTCTGATTATATCCTCCTTCATCTTCCAAGTCAACTTCAAATCCTCTTCTTTTCAGAAGCTATCCATGAAATCTTCAAGTCACACCTCTTTCTCTTCTCCAAGCTTCAAGTTGATTTATGATCTAGAACATCATTTCCCTTTTTGACCTTTTGAAGGTCAAAAATCACCCACCTCAAAATCCTCTTGTAATTGTAAATGCATAGTATCCAACTTGGTGGATCTGAGCCTGATGTTCTAAGCCTTTGCTGCTCATTAGATCCATGTGAGAAGCTAATCCCCATTTCAGATTGTAACCCAGAAAAAATGAATCAGCATCTCTGGGGGCAGGGGTTGTCATAGAAGTTTTTTAAGCTTCCCAGGTGATTCAAAAGGGCAGGTAAACCTGAGCCACTAATGTAACACCTATTACCTTTCACTCTGTGACATACTGCATAACATGCTTCCTATTATTTTTGTACTTGTAGGCCCTCTTCAACAAATGTCAAAGCTCTTAAAGGCAAGAAAATGCCTTGGTATTTTAAGCTTTCCCTATTCACAATGTGGATCATGGACCAGCAACATCAGTATCACTTGGGAGCTTGTTAGAAATATAGATTCAGGGGCTGAGGCTGTGGCTCAGTGGCAGAGCACTTGCCTAGCATGTGTTAAGGCACTGGGTTCAATCCTTAGCACCACATACAAAAATAAATAAAGGCATGCTGCCCATCTACAACTACAAAAAATTTAAAAAAAGAAATATAGATTCAAAGACCTCTTCTCCACTTTTACTGATTCAGAAAGAACATGTTACCAAGATCTTCTGCTGCTCCATATGCAAAGTTTGGGAAGCATGGGTCTAAGGTGCTAGGAGATCACTTATAGTTTGATGGGTAGGACTTTCAGGCTTCAAAAGGCAATAACAATAAATGCTCTTTCATTAATCTATGCATTTTTACTTCATGACATCACAGTTGGCCATCTGGGCCATTCTTTGGCCTGTTCCTAGAGGAAAACAAACAAACAAAGAAAACCCAATCTCTTCTCTCTCCTGCTAAATAAGTCTTGCCAGCTGTTTTCTGTTCTCTGATAACACTTGTCCTTGACATCCACAGAGCTCCGAGGGGCTCATCTCTATATTCCTGAAGCCATGACACTCACCTAAGATCATGGTCTGTGGTCAGTTTACGTAGATCTTTTGATTCTATTTCTTACTCTTAAGAGGGATAGGGAACAAAAGAGACTGGAGAATTACAAAGCTTGGCATGCATGTGTATATGTGTGCTTCTTCCTTTTCCTAAGAGTACACAAAGACAGTTTCACTTTTTACCTTGGCATTTATGTGCAAAAAGTGTATTTGAAAAGCACAGAAAAATAATTCCCATCAGTGGCTCTTGAAAGTAAAAACTGTATCTAATAATGCCACACAAAAGCAGAAAATCAGTCAGTCAAAACTCTGTGGTTTCTCAGGAGTATATTTTCTAGCTTTTCCATAGGATACCAACAAAATTTCAAATAAATGTAGCTTAATGAGGGATTCACAAAAGAAATACTGCCATGTCTGTTTTCTTGTACAGGGGAGAAAACTAAGTGAATTCACTAAAATTTTGGTGGTACGTGTGTTGTTGGGAAGAAAAGTCATTTGTTACTTTAGATCAGAGTTTAACACTTTGATGATAGTTAGAAATCTAGGAAAAATATAAGTGTGACCTCAATTCTCTAAAATGAAAAGCAAGACCATAAAATGCTAGCCCATTTATAGTTTGAATATATTTTTATTTGTTCATGGCTCTTGAGGATTGAATCCATATAGAATGTCTTAATGGAACAGAATTTGGCCTGATAATGACTGGAACAGACGTGGATTTTTAAAAAGTGCATTTGAAAGTGTGATCCAATTATAAGACCTTCCTAGCTCTGCTGAAAATGGAATGAAGCTGAATTCAGCAGGACTATTCATGTAATGATATGGGAAAGAAGAGGATTGAAAAATGCAGATTTCTCTTTCACTAAATGTATTTAAAAATAATATAATTTTATTAATATCTGAAATCATCCAAAAAGAAAATTAATCAAATTCAACATCACTATACAGTGTAATTTAACCTGTGTCATTGTTTCTAAGACTCAACCAAATAAGATATAGCACTGTTTTATATATCATTAAGAAAGAAAAAAATGCATATGATTAAAAAAGAAAAAATGCTATAAATTAAGATATTCCATTGATAATAAGATTGATCTCATCTTTGAAGATGATAAACCATGCATAAAATGTGTCTTAGAATTATTAAAACTGAGCAGATAAAAAGCATAAAATAAATGATACTTTCATAAGAGAACAGTAACAACTTTTCATGTCATAAATTTAAAGTTGGGTGTCATGGTGATAATATTGCTCCTGGTTAGTGATGCCATATTAACCCTTTAACTGGCTTTTCCAACTGCTCAGCACCTCCACACACTGTGCCTCTGTAGACATCATTGGAATTAGCCATAAAATCTTACTAATGCAAAAATACAGTGTTCCTTTAGGGAAGAATAGTAGCAAACCATATCCTACAGCATAGTTTCATATTCCTCACTGCAAACTTAGGTGAATGTGAAGACCAGGGTACATTTGCATCAAAAGTATACAAGCTAGGTGCTGGAGATGTAGCTCAGTGGTATAGCACTTGCCTAGCATGCATGAGGTTCTGCGTTCAATCCCCAGTACCACATAAAAAAAGAAAAAAATATTTAAGAAGAATACAAGTTATAAAGGATAGGAAAGTCAAGAAAGAGCACACCTCTAATTTCAAATGAATTGCTTTCACTGATAAAACTGTTCAAGACATCTCTAGGCATGGCCTTTTGGGCTCCTGAGCACAGTTATCAAGATTCTAAAAGAAGAATCACTGATGTGCATCATAGTCCTCTGAGCTCTTTGCCAGTGATTTAGTGTTCTTTTTTCCCAGTAAACACAGTTGAAAGGATCTCAAGGGGCTACAGAAAGCTGAAAATGAAATAGAAAAGTCTTGTAAAGTGGTTTCTAATTCAATAAGTGGATTGGTAAGACTGAAGCATTTTCTGGTTAGGTGGAGTGAACAGAGTTGCCAGAAAGCTGCCAAAATTCCACTTCGGTCACCCTGCATGAAGTTATGTAAATGTTTCTAATTCTTTAGAAATGGAAATAGAAATCCCCAACGTGGCTTTAGAAAATGGAAAACTGGCATACTCACGATGATTGGGAAGCCTTCCTTCTGAGTAAATAGTCCACGACATCAGGATCCGTCTCTAACAGGCTGATCAGTACTTCATTCTGCAGATCTGGGGGAACCTGAAGAAGCCAAGTGTTGAGGCATAAATAAAATCATTCCAGAATGGGGCAAAACATAGTCATTGGCAATTTTATGATATCATAAAACAGTGCCTTAAAAGTCTAAGAAAGCAAAGTGATTTACTAGTTAAAATTAAACTTACACCAACCCATACAGCAAGTTTAATTCTAAGAACAAACGGAATGGTTATCAAATAATCATATTTGATAAAAAATGTCACACTCATATACCTGGAGATACAACCTAGTCATTTGGTTGCCTCTGTTGCTCAGATTAGATTTTCTTGGCTTTGAGTAAGCAAAACATCATGGTTAAGAAGAATGGTGTTCATAATTTATTGTGTAAATGGGGACACTCTAGAGTTCATATTTTAAATGATGCCAAAGCTACAGGCATAAATTTAGACTGTCTTGGGCAATTCTGGAACATATGATCCTTTTATTAAGAGGGCAGGCCCTTGAGCCAGATTGCTTGAATTCTAGCTTTATCACTTATTAGCTGAGGGACCTTCCATAACATACATTAATAAGGATCTTTCTGACTCTTGGTTTTCTCATCTATAAAATGGAAATAACAATAATACTCACCACAAACTGGAGCTGTAGTGATTAAATTACTAATTTTGTGTCAATAATTTAGAACACTATCTGGTCAATGATAATCACCCAAAAAAAAGGAAAAAAAATACTAGCACTATGACTGCACTGTCACTTAGTGCCTGCCTTCTCTCCTTTCTTGCACCCTGTTTCCTCAAGATTTAGCCATTTCTAGCTTCATAATTTCATAGAAATCCACTAGAATTTTATGGATTGGCATCACTTGTTTCTCTAAGTCTAGAGAAACAAGTGAGCCTTAAGTCATCCATGTGGAAATGTTCTATAAGAGAAGACTAAATCCAGTTCTGACCAATGGTCTTCTACTCTATATATGCTGTTAGCCCAACCAGAGAAAGTGCAAATTATTGAGAAAAAAACAATTTTCAGTCTGATTCTCTCACATGCAGACTCAGAGAGAAGAATTTTTAAAACCACAGGGACAAGTCTTCTGAGAATAAGTGGTTGGTAGAAGAATTTTCCTCCTGCCTCTTGCAGAACTCAATTGTTCTTGAGCTCTAAGAAGCTGGAAACAATTTTATTAATAAAAACAGGGATGAGAAAGCAAGAAAATGCTTTCCTTCTCTCATAAATCTGTTCCTCCTACTTCATCCCAAATCTTCATTAATGGCACTGCCAAACCCTAGTCACATAAGCTCAAACTCTCAGAGTTGTATTCCATCTGCTATGACCCAAGTTCAAGTCTTCATTACCCCTTTGTAGTGGTCATATGTTGGCCATTACAAGTCTCCATTTCCCTTTTATTATAACAGTTATACCCTAAGTTCACTCAGGAAAACCAACCACTTCCTACCCCACCCCTTACTCAAGAGTGAAGTATGTACTATAATCAAAGTTGACCAATCATTTCATTCCCAGACCACCATGGTTGGTGAGAAATGGCCACGTGATTCCATTAGAGGCAATGTAAAGCTATGAGAATTTCCCCGAGGGTTGTAGGAGACAGGAGACAGGAATTGTAGATATACAGAACCTTAGGATTATGTTGACAATTGAGCAAATAATAAGAAGTGGAGGGGGGTGGAAATAAGGAAAAGGAAGAGAAGGAGAGGGAGGAAGAAGAAGAAGAAGAGGAGAAGGAGGAGGACAGAAAAGAAGATTTCTTGATGGCATTTGAGTCTTGTGTCAAGCTATGCCTAAAAACACATCTGCTTTTAATTACAGCTACATGAGCCCTGAAGTTCTTTAAGCTATTGTGTTTATAGAGTAAAATAAATGTACATATTTGATGTGACCTTTAATATAACAGCTTGCTAAATTTTGCACTATTTCCTTGAAATGTGCATCAATGCTCCTCTCCACACAGTTGTTAGAATGGTCTGATCAAGATATTCACTTGCTCAAAATGCTTTTCATCACCACAGTTAAAGTCCTTCATATGTTTGCTATCCTTAATATGTGTGTTTCATCTTCTGTCCTAGCAATCATCCCCACATAGTCTCTTCTTCAGCACCACTGCATTTCTCACTCCAGCCCCCTTGTTCCACCTCTGCTCCTTTCAATCAGTGCAAAGATATTTGGTGAATACTTATTGAGTGCCAGGTATTGGATGCTGGGATATAAACCAAACAGAGAAGAATCCTGGTCCTCATGAAGCTGGAGATAAACACGGAAAGATGGGAATTAAGCAAATACACAAGGAAAGCATAGCCTGGATCATGTGCAGAAAAACAAAACAAATAGTGTGATGGAAAATTCTGGGTGAGGTGCAATGTTAAATAGGATGGTTAGTTTGCAGAGAAGCTGACATGTTAGTAGAGAACTAAAGTTGATTAAGGACTTTGAGAAAATCATTCCAGGCAGAAGGAGGAATGGAATTACCATATGACCCAGCTATACCACTTCTTGGTATATATCCAAGAGGAGTAAAATAAGTGTATCATAATGATTAATGCACACCAATGTTTACAGCAGCATAATTCACAACAGCCAAGTTATATAACTAGCCTAAGTGCCTGTGAACAGATGAGTGGATGAAGAAAATGTGGTACATATACACAAAGGAGTTTTACACAACCCTAAAGAAGAATGAAATTAATGCATTATGGATGGTACTAGACAATGTCATGTTAATTGAAATATGCCAGACTGAGAACATCAAGAGTTGAACATTTTGTCTGATATGTGTGTGTGTGTGTGTGTGTGTGTGTGTGTGTGAGTGAGAGAGAGAGAGAGAGAGAGAGAGAGAGAGAGAGAGAGAGAATCTCACAAAAATAGAAGGGGGACCAATTGAGTAGAGGAAGAAGAGAGAAGGAAGGAGATGGGCAGGGCATGAGGAAGTAGTGGGGAGTAAAATCTACCAAATTATGCTAGGTTCATGTATGAATAAATACAATGAACCATGCTTATACATATAATTATGATACAATAATTAAAATAATAATAGTAATCAAAAGGAGATCAGTAGAGACAGAGGATTGGGGTGAGGGCGAAAGGAAGTTACTGGAAAATGAGATTGATCAAATTATATAATATGCATGTGTGAATATGGCATAATGAATCCCATATCAGGATTAGTTACAATGCAACAATAAAAATAATTAAAAATGAACATCAAGGCAAAAAATATTGTAAGCCAAAATGTATATCCTGAATTCTATGTTAAAATAAATGTGTATGAGCAAATTAGGGAAAGTGCTTACATTTCCATCCAATTAGTTTAACTTAAAATTTTCCCTGCTTAGATGCATAATAAATAAATTTTGCTCCAAGCACAATTCCATTCTCACTGAAAAATAAACAAGAGTGCATGCCCTTTGGAGTATTGCAGGCATTACAATATTAATTAATTGAGAATAGAATGTGCATCTAAATTATCAACTTGCATTATTAGAATATATTACAGAAAGTGTTATTATTTTAAAAATAACTTTCCATATTTTTTGTTAGACTATTCTGCATTTCAGAGCTTACTCATTCAACTAGGCTTGACCCGGTTTATTTTACGTAGGACATGTGACTCTTACTTGATACAAATGCAAATAAAAAAATTCATTATACTATTTTGGCTTGGAGAAACTATTGACAAATAAGTAAAGAGATACAGCTTAAAAATATGGATGCATGATTATAGCATTGATAATATTTTCCTATATATTATGCAAAACTGACTACAGTGCATATAATTCATTAATTTATTTTTATCCCATTTGTTACAGAATGATTCAAGGAATCTTAAATAATTCATATGATAAAATAGCATTTTTTCACATTTTTAAAATAAAGGAATGATTCAGAAAACTGTAGCCAGTAGGAAAATTAGATAGGGAATTTGAAATGATGCTTGGAACTGATTTTTTAATGTTCATATAACAGCATTTAGTTCTGTTTTCCCATGACTCTTCTAGTCTTTCTCTACAATTACAAATTTAATTTTAGATCACTTAATAAAAATTGAAAACCACAGGTTCAATTCAATTGGATAAGCATTCACTTCTATTAATTTAAGTAATTCATAGAGAAACAAAAGTCATAAATTAACTGATAAATAACAGCAGCTTAAATAAGTAAGAAAGAAATAACCAAGCAGACCATTCACTTCTGCATACCATTTTTGGAGTTAGGATGTTGTCAAAAAATATATGTCTGAGTTTATAGCCCTTTAAGTCCAGTTTTGGCTCTGCTGATTAAAATTAATTTCAATGTGGACACAGCAATTACCTTTTTCATGATTCTGTTCCTGCATCTGAAAATCTTCTGTCCCATTTTCCTTAATGAAAGTGTTATGAAAATCAAAAAGTCTAATCAATTTGAAAATACCTTATTGATTATAAATGGACTAGCAATAAAACGTTTTATTAGAAATAGAAGAAATAAGTTCAACATTGAAAAGAAAAAAATAGAAACAATTAATATGGAGTTGGACAATATTGGTTCTGTGATTTCTTTTTCTCAGATAATAGTGGTCCATTTCTGTCTCTGTCTCCACTGGCCACAGAGAAGAACCATTCTCTTCTCTTTTGCTTAACAGTTCTGTTGGGTAACAAATTATGTGATTTTTCTCTTGATAGTTGTCTGCTCCTAACCTCCTTCTGAATTTCTAGAATTACAGCCTATGACTGCTCAGTCCCTCAACTTAGTGGTTTTGAGAAATACTGTCTTCCAGTTCCTTCTCTTCTGCCAGACCTTGAGTCTTCCTGCTGGTCCACATCATCAAAAGGTTAAGTTTCCTGAAGACAAGGATTTTCTGATTTGTCGACCTGGAATTGATACAAGCTCCTAATGTAGTTCTTTTTTAGCTAACCTTCCTTGCAGCTAGAGCAAGATCATGTGTGCCAATCCTGGCCAATCCCAAGAGGGGCCTTGTAGGAGCATCCAGAAACGTCTCTTTTCTCTGTATATTGAAAAGAGATGTTTGAGATAAAATATCATTCTTCATCACTTGA